AAAAAAAAAAAAAAAAAAAAAAAAAAACAGATTCTGACCTGCTCTGAATGACTTTAAGTCAAAACCCACAGGGGTTAATGAGGTGTCGCTGTGCAAATGCTACTTCCAACCTCCACTTATCCCAGCCAGGCCAGCACCAAAGCACAAGCCCAGGGCTCTGCCAAACTGGAGGGCCAGCAGATGTCACAGTGTGTGGGAGGACAGGGGCAGGAAGGAACACAATTCCGGCTAGGTTTCAAGAGTCCCACACCACGGGTAGAGGTGGTATTGAGGCTGCCTTAATCCAAGGGAAAGCTGCTCTAACTTCTTTGTAAGAATCATTGCAGAAGATAGAGCATCGATAGTCTCTTGTTGTGGAAGGTTTGTAACCTCATCTCCTGAGCCCTTGCTAAAAAGCTCAGCTTCCTGAATTCTCCAGTCTGGCCAGATTGAGAGGGGAGTCTATCCTGCTTCTCCTTCTCTCACCCCAGCGCTTCCTTTGCCTGCAATGACAAAGAAGTGGGTAAAGAGGGAGGATGGAGACAGACCTCAGAGGGGTGGGAGTGTGGCCTCCCCTCCCTCCAATATCACACCTATTTCAGAATCAGATTTTTTTTTTTTTAAAGGTGACCAGTAAGGGGATCTTAACCCTTGACTTGGTGTTGTCAGCACCACACTCTTCCAAGTGAGCTAACCGGCCATCCCTACATAGGGATCTGAACCTGTGGCCTTGGTGTTATCAGCACCACACTCTCCTGAGTGAGCCATGGGCAGGCCCTCAGAATCAGATTTGTCCACAAAACAGGCCCTGATCATGGGAAGGCCATCTGCCAGCCACAGAGAAGATAAATGCCAACTTGAAGCCCTGGTTTCTTGCAAGCACCCAGGCTGATCTGGGATGTACAGAGAGATGTAGAAAAGCCCATCCCTCCGACAGCAGCCTAGCTTTCTGAGATGGACCAGATTGTGAGAGATAAGAGAGAAGGCGGCTTTGGAGCTAACACAGACCTCCATGCACCCTGTCCTTCAAAAAAAAAAAAATTGAAAATAAGAGCCTTTAGAGTGATCTCGCTCCCCAGCCATCCTTAGGACTTCCTGCTTCTCTGGTGGAATTTACAAAACGCTAAAGTGCACTCTGCCTCTTGTAAACCTTGTCTTTCACTTGCCCCAGTGTGAAGGTCGCAGGTGGATTCTACCAGCAAACGCTGCCGGATTAGCTCGCAGAGTTTTTTCGCGTTGGTTTTGGTTTTGTTTTTTTTAATGAGTTAGTTGCCAATACTTTAAAATCAGGAGATTTCACATATACCTCAGATTCTTGATTTCTCTTGAAAAATCAGAAGACCAGGCCAAATTGTCCCTGCCTTTCCGTGTAGCAAGGTAGGCCAGGGCTGATCAGAGGTTGACACCTTGCAGCCTGCCACTCTCCCACACACTGGGCACTGCCCTCTGCCATAGCCCCCGCCAGTGGCACGCACCTTACCTACCTACTCGACCCATAGACAGACAGGTCTCTTCGCAACTTTTCAAAGTATCCCTATTTCTTTCTTAAAAGGCTAAGGAAGTTACCTATCCCCAACAAAACTAATCTCACCTCCTAAATGACTAACATCTCTTCTGATCATCTCTAAACCAGGGCTCACATCCTCTTCCCATATGACAAGGCCAGGCGGGCTGCCCCGTGCAGGTGTCCAGCTGTGACCCCGCGTTGCACGTATCACACCCACCGCACACACCCCGGGGTTCCTGCGGGACCCAGGACTCTCATGCCAGCTCTGCTGCTTACCTGTGTGGCTTTAGCCTCTCCGTGCCTCAGTTTCTTCATATGGAAAATGAATACACTAACGGCGTCCAGCCCGGGCCCCGCCCTCGGGCGCCCCTTTACCTGGACGACAGGTGGGC